TAGTTTACTGAGTTTTATGAGATACTCTGCTACCAGTCTGTCCAGGTCTCTGTTCTGAGATATAATGTGTCTCTGAAGAAGATTTCTTAGTTAAATACAGTACACAAATAAAGAATAAAACATTGCTTTAAGATTCAAATTGGAATATCTGTCTAAAAACGTAACTAATTTGGTTTGTAAATGTAGAGCGTTTGATTTTCTTCTGCAGTTTTCAAGTACAACCATTACACATTCAACCTCACTCCAGCTGAATTGTCGCACAACATCATGTTTGTTTTAGCAACCGAACACAGAACCTCTGTCTGCGTAGGCATGGGTTCAAATTAAGCAGCGACTACAAGCACAGGAAAGAATAGCGAGGCCCAGCAGGAGCATTTTAATAATACAAGAGTCTAAGAATGAACTTTTTAATTCTCAGCCCCAAAGCTATAACACCATTATCCCTTTAAAAACTATGAATGAGAGAATCAGTGCGACAACTCAGGCAGGGCTGGTAACACTTAGGCTTCTGCTACAACAACTGAAAAATCCCCATTATTTATCTGGAATAATAATTCAGACGACACCTAATGTCCCTGTGTGGGCCAAGAGAGGCCGTGAGTTTAGTCTAGTGTAAACAACTCTTATCTTTGCTGTGAAGTATTGCGTCACCAATAAATCCTCCTCCTCGCCTTTGTCCTCCTGACTCCATGTTGCACCAGGCAAGCTACAGACCTGAAAACACTTATCAGCAGCCGTATACCTGATATCACTGCTCTGTCTGGGTTAAGACGGCTCAACACAATGAGAGGCGGACACTTTCACTGATAAGTACAGTGGTCGAAAAGAAATACAGGACAGAGCAGGCACTAGGTTGGATACAGTATGTGTGTAGCGGATGATTTGAAAAGTCTGTGTGCTGTGGGGTCTTGTGTGGGAAACATTAAGACCACGATCTGCAAAACCCATTAAATCCAAGGATGGCTTCTTCACCGCCCCCCCTCTGACAGCGGCTCCTCTTTATTACACCAGCAGGAAAGGAGGGGAGGATTCACTCCATCTCTCTAAACACCGTCTGGCACACACACGCAAGCAACGCAACGTTTAGTCTATGATACAGTTGAGGATACAACTTTGAGAGCTGGAGCCAGACCTCAACAACAAGAGCTATATGACGAACCCCAACTCCGACCATAACCAAACCCTAATTATAACCACAGCTCCAACCATAACTCTAACCCTTACCAGTCAACGTTAAGTCACAGTTCAAATACAAATGTCCTCAAAAGTATAGTTCAACCAGTCTAGAAAATAAGACGTTAGCACACATTACTCTGAATCTGCATCTCTTGCCTCATCTCTGATCTAACGTGACGTGGTTACCAGCAGATTAGGCAGAACTATGAGATCTGACAGCAGCAGTTCTGAGACAATAACTATTAAATATACTAAGATTTTAACAACACAGTATTAGGACCATACTGACAAAAAAAATCGTGATTGTAAGAAAAGAGTAATTACAGAAGTAAAGTGGTAATATTATGAGAATAAAGTTGTAATATTAGTAGAGGATGAAGAACAAATGATTTTTCAGGAAATAACCAGCAAGGAGTACATGTGCTTTCAGGAGCTCCAGTCGTTCTGGATCCAGACTCAGGGAGCAGGATGTGACCAATCATTTCATCCAGTCCAAATGCAATACTCAATATAATCTGTCTTTATTACAGTCATTTTTTTTTTCAGATGAATTATTTAGGGCTACAAATTCAACAATAAGATGTGTTTCAGAAACAAATGGCCAATCCTACCTTTAAGTGGCCCTAATACTTGCCTGCCCTAATATGACGTAACAATAATGAGTTAAAAATCCCTTTCTAAATAAACATTGTGTAACCGATCTTTTACTGTAGGTGTGTTAATGTTACTCTCCTGTGTTCAGCCGCTGTGTATGGGATCTTTGTTAAGCTGATCCCAGGGAAAATTGGTTCGAAAAGCAGAACTAAGTGATTCATGGTGTTAACATTACCTTTGAATGTGCTCCCGAGATGAGTTACAACAGTCTTTCGGTGGAAACATTTAATCTTGTCCTCGAGCGAGTGAATCTAGCGTGGACAAACACACAAGCACGCACAGTTTAATAATACAATAGGGCTATCTGACCCCACTGGGTTAATGCTATGCATTAGCCTAAATTGTTGCAAGTGATAAACATTTTGTTGGTCGTCCTTTGGGGATGTTTTTGAGAATGACGATATGTGTGAGAAAAACTGTGGGAGGCGTTGCTGTGATTGTTTATGGAGTTAAACCAAATGTAAACAGATGTGCCGCGTAATTAAGTTGATGCAGCGGGAGAGCAGTAGCTGCTCTCGCTAGAGGCAACAGAACCCTGGGAATACACTGTGTGGGATTTGCTGTTCACTTGTACCCGCAGAGAGGGCGCGCACGCATGCACGCACACACACACACACAGGGGTCGACACTCACTCTGTCAACAAATTCCTGCTCCTTCAGCCGAGCCTCGCTCAGTAAGGTAGTCTTCTCAGCGAGCTGAGCCTGAGGTGAAGGACAGAACATTCATTACAATGAGGAGGTGGAACAAGTAATACAACACACTGATAGTATGTGCCCATCAATGAGGCACGTTTTCATGATCAAACACTGTTTTACAGTGATAATGGGCTTAGATGATATGACCCGTAAAACAGTGAAACCAGTGAAGCAGCACACGTACCTGTAGTTCTTCTGAGCTCATCTGCACCAGAATTAAAGAGAAATAAGAAGATACCGTGAGTTAGTACAAAATATATAAGATATATGTGTACCTACAGTAAAAATAATAATAGCCAATTTCAGTCAGTTATTTTATAACAACATTTAAACTACATAGTTTATCTTTAAAGGACAAGTGTACCGATATTCCACATTTTTCTTTTAGTCAACAAATAACAATCAAAACCAACAATAAATTCATCATAAATATTGTCTGTGTGTGAAAATCCTGTTTGAGTTGATTCATCTGTGCCATAGAGCCCCAGTGTCATCAATTCACATATTTACCATGAACATAAGCACTGTAACTTTAAACCTCACTGCCGCTCTTTTCATGGGATTTTTGAGAAAAGACGAACATTTAGAATATTACCTGCCTAACCTTTAAATTACACAGTGCAATGGAAGGACTGTTAACACACTGAAACGAGTGCTGTCTCTAAGGGAAGACATATAGGCCCACTGTCTAAATGAAGAATGGTTTGTGAGCCCTGTAGTAAAGAAAAGCCTCCTGGAGCGTAAACCCATACAATCCACCCATAAAAATTATGACCTCACGAGGGAAAAATGCAGCAGAGGGTGCAACGTAATTCTTTGTTTGTGTGCATCTGGACATGAGTAGAAAAATCAATGCAGGGGTCTCATGGCACCCTCAGCACCTGGGTTAGAACATCTCTCAGGAGTACTTCTGTCCTTTATGGACTCTTGCCAGCATACACATCTTGAATGCGAGTATTGCTGTGGTATAAATCTTAGGCTGTGAATCACCTCGCATGATGATAATTGAGAACAGGAACTGAGGCTGGCTGCTGCCTCGCAATCTCTGTTTTCAGAGGAGAACATTCCTGAGTGAATCAAAAGAGCTTCACAGCATCCGGTGCGCTTTGGAGAGGAGCCACGTGACCGGAGCGAGACACTGATCACAGCAAAGAGCGAAGACAAATTGTCTCCCAGCTTTCAAAAGAAATCCTTCAATTACGGAACAAGGCAAAGGAAAAGATAACCGGTAACTGCTAAGTCTATTATACTGGATATGAACTTTCAATAATAAGGCAACTGAAGGGGCCTTGTGATACTGAAACTAAAACACACCTGGATTAAGCTGTCATTCAAAACTAGTAA